GTCCTCAGTGCAACTCCTCCTTGAAGGCCAGTGGCTAGAGCTAAACATAGTATAGCAGAGATGTAGCTAGGCAGCTCTGTGCCAGGGCAATCATGCAAATACCCAGGGCAGCGCTGACTGCTATGGTGCTGATGGCAGTGGCATGATTAGCTGCTGCTGCAGTCACGGCTACTTTTGTGCCACCACACAAAAGCAGTACCTGGGGCGGCTGTCCCGGTTGCCCCCACTTAGTTATACTACTGTGGCATAGACAAAACCTCACGACATATCCAGCAAATGCCTCTCAAAATTTCAAACTTACGAAGTTGCTATTGCAGCTGGTGTTTTCTCAAAGCACTACATACGCATGCCAGCTCTGCCTTTGCCATAGTCTGAAGCACCAAAGCAAGTTCAGGGATCTTCTCTATTTGTAGATCCCTCAGTGAACCTACCAATATTTAAATGAACGATCAAACCAAAAAACAACCATAAAAAGAAAGTAAAGATACCTTTCAGAATGCTAGGGAGAAAGCATTTTTCCCACTTAAAACACCAAGCTGATTGCATCTTTAAAGTATTATATGGCTATGAAGCCCCATTTCTCAATCGTACACAAAATTAAGACCAATAAAATTAACTACATATTTTCAGAGTTGAAACACAAATATAAAGAAGTGAATTTTAAGGGATTCTTCCTATATCTTATTTTTTATCCTTTCCCACCTACCTCCAACTTCAAACAAGGCAACTAATTTTTTCAATAGAAACTAAAATAGCTTATCTTTATAACCTCATGGGGGTAAAGAGTCACAGCTTGATTTTATTTTTTTACACCTACAGAGAATTCTGTTTTGTTTGGCCGTCTCATATTCACTAACTTCTCACAGCTCTCGCCTTTCCAGTTTTTATTTTCTTCGTACTTTTAACTGAATAAAAGAAATTATTTAGAGAAATGTTACTGCTGTTATGCATACAGAAATAATGTTTGTCGTGCTAGTTTCTCTCACTAGACCACCAATTTAGCAGTCTGCCAACTGTCCAATTACTTATGTTTATGTTGAGCTAAATAGGTTCTTCATCTAGCTGCACACCTTTCTTTTTGAACATAATTAATACGGTTCATCAAAGCCCAGGAAATGAGCCCAAAGCACCAGCCGTTAACAGGGTCATTTGCTAGTAACCTCTTACACAGACTGTTTATATGGTCCCAAGTTTGCTGACAAAATGTCATCTCTGTAATACACAGGAAATGATGAAAATGCTAAGTGCATATAGATGTTGATGTGTGTGTATTTCATGCACGCAGATAAACTTATTTACACCCAAACTCTCAGGCCAAAACACAAGTGAAATTCAAGATTTTGGTACATAGATAAATATAAGATGTTCCTTAAATAGTTTCTTAATTAATCTCTAGTCATTGGATACTAATATATGCACATTACTGGTCATATGACCCAGCAACTAAAGCACTTTCTCTTGTTTACAGTACGTTTTAGGTAGTTGGGTCTTTTAATAAGCCTGATATCACTTAAAAAACACATTTATAAATTTAAATATGCATGTCAGAGTGAGAGAAGCCATAATGGCAGAGTAACAATGATGAACCTGTGGAAGGATGCTCATACATATTTGCATTTGAAGTTTCTTCCAAAAAGAAAGTAAGAATTTTTCTAAAACTCTACCTACAATATGCAATGCATCCAATCCGAGAGATTTTTGCAACTGATTCTCTCTGTATCCTGCAGTACTTGGAATAGCAAGGACTGCATTGGTATAGATTAGGTTATTAAAATCAACAGATCTTTCCTATCATTGTAAGAATCAATCTATTGCTGCCTGAGCAGGCCACGGCATAACAACAGCTTTTAAGGTGTCCACAGAAAAATACATTTAAGATGAGCAGCAAGGAAAAGAATTGGGACATACATTGTAGCTACATATCTGTTTTATCACCTTCCTCAGCTAACTGATCCTTTCCTGCACAGGAAGCTAAATTGGTCTGCTGGGACTGGATGGACCTTCCCGTATGGAAGCAATAGGTCCCTATTTCTGGCTGAGTCATTGAAAAGTGAACTGAATGTCTGCTAACCCCTCCCCCCACCACACACACACCTAGGTTTACCCCACATGACTTCTTTATAAGGTATGAAAATGGTTTCAATTTTTTACTTGTTTTAACAGCTTCTTCTGTTGCTTTTTTAAGCCTTGGTAACATCAGGAATAGAAAGCCTGAAGTTACCTCTTCTTGCTGGTGAATTACAGCAGGATACTGATATCCCATCAAGCTTAAAGCACAGCCAAGTATTTCTCAGCCTTTGAGTGAAGGGGAGAGGTATTATTACAGAGACTACTATTCTCCTAATGGCTGGTGAAGTATTTGAATTAAACAGGTGTAAAATACCCAATAAAAAAAACCAGTGGTGCTCAACCTTTTTGAATATGGGGCTTGGATGAGCAGTGGTCCCTCTGCAGGCTAGATCTGACTGGTGGACCCAGTCCAGTGCCCCCGGCATGTGTGACAGGGCTCCATCCAGTCACACAGAGGGGGGTCAAGGGGCAGCCCGTCCCCGATCCAGCCATTTGGGGAAAGAGCTTGGCCCAGATCCAACCTGGCTTGGTGGTGGGGGGAGGGGGCAATGACCTGGCCCCAATTTAGCCCATGGGGAAAGGAGGTGTAGCCTGGCCCTATGGGAGGAAGGGGCACAGCCCGGCACCTACCTGGCCAGAGAGAAGGAGACCCCAAGGAGAGACAAGGGGGCATGGCCCAACCCAAACCAGCTGTGCACGTGGAAGGGGCATGGCCCAGACCCACAGGAAGAAAGGGGCACAGCTTGGCCCCATCCCTGCTGTGCAGAGGGAAGGGAGTGCCGCCTGGTCCTGATCTGGTCATGTAGCAGGAGGGTCATGGCTGTGGGGCTTGGGATTTTGGCCATGGCAGAGCAGGGGGGCAGTATTAACAGCCACTGCTGTCCTGACACCAAATTTTGCAGCCCATAGGGAGCTTTGTGGGCTGGAGGTTGAGTACCTCTGAAATAAACCACAGAGCAGTGGCTCTCAACCTTTTTAGACTCAAGGAAACCCTCATTACACTTAGGGTACCCTCAGAAAGTGCCAGCTCTTCGTTTTTACTAATTTTTCACAACAGAAAAGTAACAGAACAATTCTTTTGTTGCAAAGAAATCAGGAAGACCACAGCAGGTCAGAATGTTTTTAACACTATGGATTCCTGTTGGAAACCTCGGGTTTAGTCTTGTCAATAATGTTTGTACACTTAACAGTGTTAATGTTGCGTGACACCCCATGGCACTCCTGACAAGATCTCAAGGCACCCTGGGGTGCTGCAGCACCCTGGCTGAGAATCACTGCCACAGAACATTACATTGGTTAAACACCCTTTCTCTTGTCAGCTGGGACAGGGGATGCCGTAGTTCAGGTTAGAGTGGCTGATTGTGATATCAATGCCTTACTGTTTTTCAGGACAAGACTTCACCAAAAGCAGAGGGACTAGGCCTATTATTTATAATGCAAGAGACATTCATTATTGAGAACAGAAAGGCACATTTTTGAGCTGTCTCCAGCCATTGTGAACCAAACCCCAGAAGGCACTGGTTCACTGCTTTTTCCTCTGCACCTCCTCACCTTAACAATTATGTGACCCACTCTAAGGTGGAAAGGACAAGTTTCTCTTGGGAGTAAATTCCCAAACTCACCACATCCAGGAAATATGGAACACTGCCGTATCTCCACGTGCATTAGTGAAGTGAGTCACCATTATCTGAAGCCACACTCAAAAGGAAGAGTTTATTGTAGGCAGTGTGGAAATAGCTAATGTGGTAAAAAGCTCTTTGAACTAAAACGAACAATAGACAATTCTATTAGTGGGTCATTACATCATAATTCCTGACACACTTTAGGGGTAGGATTTCCATGAGAGGTATCACCTTCATTGTAAGCCTGGCTCAGTTACAAAAGAAATGATTGTTTTGTTTGGTCCTTTTTAAAATGAACAAAATAACACTTGAAATGTGCATACGTGACCTCCTTCATCACACTGGTGATCAGTTATTCATGCAGGTAGTTTTACTGAATATGAGTGAGGGGCTCAAGGTCTGGTACAAAATGCTACTACTATAACTGTTACTTACATTAAGAGAGATCCATCTGCTTCTGTCCCACAGACCTAGCACCAACAGCCCCACATAGTGAGCTTGGAGTTTAAGAGTGAGAAGTAACGCAAAATTGTTTCTTGTGAAGACCTAAATCAGACGGCAAGTCACTAGAGAAGACTGCAGGCATTTTGAAAATGAAAGTACAGTTACAAGAAGTACATCACTGAGGTCTGCTTGGATGTTTTATCAGAAATAATCTCATTTTGGACCTGATTCTAAGAGGTCCCAAATGCCTTTCACTGCTACATTTACTTGCAGAAGTGGGAGCTGTGGTTGCTCATGGGCAGTCAGAAGGAGCAGCCAGAAGGCCCTTGTTGTTGATAATTCATGCCACTGAACCACGCACCGCTGACGATTCTGTTCACAGTTGCCCAGATTCCTCCTCCTCTTCTCCAATGCTATGGAAAAAGTGACTCTGCTAACGCCTTCTGTTACAATGCAACAACTTTGTGTAAGTTAAACAGCTCAGTGCTACAGGTTGGAAAGTTACAGAAGGCAGGAGACGAGCTCTCAAAAGAGAAAAGATCTCAAAATCAATCCTCTCCAAAGCCCTCTGATTGGCCCTAGTCACTGGAAACACTGAAAGAATATCACCACAGGACAGATGCATATCCAGGAATGCAGGACCAGGAAGGACCACCTATGCTATCAAGTCCAATCCTTTCCTACTGCAGACATCCATAGCATATAACCCCTTTCATAAATGGACCAAGCTCCTATGCGACAATGAAAACAAGAAACTGCTGAACTGAACTCATCCCCTCAGAAAAAGTCAGTTGCTGAAACTTTTTCTTGGACTAAAGTTGCTCACAAAGTGTACATTCAACATGTTCTTGTATTTACACTTACCTGACTAAGGGAGGGAAGTGTTGCATATGCCATTGGTTGAGTCATCATTCCTTTTTGCTTCATGATAAGCATGCGCTTCTGTTCCTCACTCAGGTGTGCCATCTGAGCTTGCATCTGTGGCTGCTGGGACTGTGGCTGTATGTATGGCATCATGGGGTTCTTGTTGGGGGTGGCCATGGGTGGGGTCATTCTCTGACTCAACTCAGCATTGAAGTGAGTCAGAGGTTTAGTGTTGCCATAAGTAAGCATATTGGGCTGTTTGCTTAGGGAGTTTGTACCCAAGTTATTTGGCTGCTGACTAATCATATTTATGTGATTTTGAGGGAGGTAGTTATTCATTGTGGTCTTCTGTGGATTGTTTGCCATAGGAGGCACTATTGGGTTTTGGTTGTTAAAGGCTTGGGGATACATCATTGGACTATTTGGTTTGTCTGCACTGAAGGGCCCTCCGTACGGACTAGATGGAGGCCCAACTGGTGACCAGCTTGATGCTTGATTTGGATGTTGCTGCTGTTGCTGCTTTTGCTGCATGAGTTTAGCTCTTTGTTGCTGCTGTGCTGCCATTTGTTTCAGCTGTTCAGCTGGAGATAAGTCAGTGCTGGGTATAGTCACAGGCCCAGGCCCTGAACCCGCCACTGTTACAGCTGCTGGATTCATAAGGTAACCATTTCCAGATCGTGACTGAGACTGGCCTGGAGTATGGGCTTGGCTGGGAGTTTGGGGTGACTGAACAACACAATTTGCTGGTGAGCTGGCAGGGACTGGAGCTGCAGGAGCACTGGAAACAGAAGGTATACTAGAAGCTGTGGAGACATTTGAAAATGGAGGACCTGAAGAAGAAGGCCTCACCTGGGGAGATCCCAGAGGTACATGAGCAAATGGAGAATGAGACGGATCGCTCTTAATGCTTGCACTCTCTTGAATCTCAGTGGCAGGTCTGGGAAATTCTGGTTCCTTCTTCTCTTCAAAGTCTTCATTGAACAAATCTTGTATATCATCCTCTGGAACAGTGTTGGCTAGCTCATCTATTAGCTCCTGCCACTCTTGATCATTCAGATTAATGTCTGAGAAGAGTTTATTTTGATTTGAAAGGGAGGTTTCAGAAGTGTCTATGCATGTGGGGTCATCCAAAGGTTCTTGTTTTAGCTCCTTATTTTGCAGGATGTTAAAACTTTCCTCAATCTCACTGCAACCATTAACTGGCAGCTTTATCTCTGGAAGTCCGCCATTTTTACCTAAGTCTTCCAGCCCAGTAGGATGTGTCCCACTGTTCTGCAGGGGTAAAGAAGGCTTCATGTCAAGCTGGTGAAGAGGAGAAACAGAAGGTATAGGCAAGTTATTGGGCAAGCTGTTGATTGCATCAATTCCTGGTACATCCTTCCGTATCCTCTTGCTGGTTGGGGAGAAGCTACCATCACAGACACCATTTTGCTGTTCTCCATTGAGGGGCGAGCGTGCACCTTCCAACTTCCTCTTTACTGTCTCTTGTAGCTTGAATGAAAAAGAAAGAAAAAAGAAAATCCAAATAAGCCACTTGCACAAATTTCTTTCAAACAAAGCATGCTGCAGATTTTGTGACAATAATTTTCCCCCCTGCATACCACATTTTAGAAATTCTCAGAGTAAAGATTCCTTAGCTTCCTTCATATGCCTTGAAGTCAGACTGCTCAGAAAAGAGGACCTGTAACGAGGGAGCTCAACCTGAGTATGAGGTCTAGGATCATGTCCATTGGGGGACCACTGTATAGTGTGCTACTTGAAGGACACTGCTACAAATGTTCAGCTGCTATATCAGACTTATAAAGATCTGAGCCAAGATTTTCAAATGTGACCAGGGATTTGGGGGGGCTTCCATTTTTGGGTTCCCAACACTGCTGAGATACCCTGAAGGAGCTTCATTTGCAATAGTGCTGAGTCTGTGTCTTCTGAAAATCTAGCCTCTTCAAGAGGTTTGAAGCTGGACACCCAAAAACAGAGATGCTAAAATGCACAAGTAATTTTTGAGTCTATGTTTTGAGAGAAATATATATAGTATGAATGCTGGTATTCAAAATATATGTGCTGTTTTCTGTCCTTTTACCCCTCTGTCCTTACGTATTAGGGCTGTACAAGAAATAGGGAAACTCTCTTAAGTGGGGAAAAACATATTTTTTCTAACAAATAGAAAGATGTTCATCACTTTATATGATGTTGAACTGATTCATTGATCAAAAAGGAGCAGAATTATAGGAAAATGTTTCAACACTGGTGCTAACAAAAGTAGTAAGCCACGAATACTGTAAAAATAACAACAACATTCACTTAGCAGGATACAAAAGCAACCACATTAGCTTCCATGAATTCTATCAAAAATAAGCCAGGTACATTTAGGTTGAAACACTTATATTCCACCTATTCAGCTATCTACAGTTCTGTCCCATTACACAAAATATTAAGTCCACTGCTTATGCACCAGGCTAACAAAAGCAGCCCTTCCTTGGCTCACGCAAAACAATAGTGCAGGGAGACAGGAAGTGGAGAGGTCACAACTCCAGTATGCCTGTTCTGGACATGTTTGCATCCTTGATATAGAACAATAGAGGACACAATACTGAAGATTTTATCATTTGTAAGTGTTTTACATCTATGAAGATCATGGACATTCAGCTCCCAGCCCTCCCCCTGAAGTAGAATTTTTCAAATTACGTTTTTTCTTCTTTCCCACAATTTCTAATTCAGTCTGCAGCCATGGATTCCTATCTCAGAGTCTTTGGGAGGAGTCCCTGTTCTGCTTTGAATGGAAGCTCAGTCCTTTCAGCATATCAAAGAATTCTTCCTGGGGACCGTTCTCCACTTTTTTTTTTTCTTTGTCTATCCTGACTTCTCAGAGCAGAATTGCCTCATTCATTCCTGTTCACATCCCTCTGGTTGTTTGGAATGAGAAACTGGAAGTTCCCCTCTCATGGCCTCTCCCCCCCTTCCCACCCCACCATGCAAGACAAAAATCCTGCTGGTTCACTTTCTTTCTCGCAAGTCCTGCCTGCATTTTTCACTATCATTTTATGTGCGTGAAGTGGAATTCCCAGTACAAGACCTACGCATGCCTGAGGTCTCAATTTGGCTTTCAAAATAGTGCATAAGTTGGGTATTTGCTGTGCACACGTGTTCTACTAGTTCTCTACCCATATGATCAGAGACTTGTGTGACAAGCCATATGAGGAAAGACTGAGGGACCTGGGACTCATCAGCCTGAAAAAGAGAAGGCTGAGAGAGGACCTGGTTGCAGCTTACCGCTACATCAGGGGTGTACATCAAGGGCTCAGTGAATAACTGTTCACCAGGGCGCCCTTGGGGAAAACCAGGAGTAATGGCCACAAACTCCTAGAAGATTATTTCAGGCTCAACCATAGGCGATGTGTGTGTGTGTGGGGGGGGCACATGCCCCCCATGAGACTGGCCACTGCCGAAGCTTCCGCCAGCTTCTGCAGGTGGTCGCCGCTCTCCACCTGCCCCCCCTTGTCACCGACATCACTGAGGGCATCTGCAGGCAGTCCCCGCTTGCCACTTGCTGTCCCCTCCTCTGCTGCCAGCATCTGTGGGTGGTTCCCACTCGCCACTGCCGACACCACTGCCAGTATCTGTGGGCAGTGACCACTCGCCACCCCACACCGCTGACACCACCGCTGGCGTCTGCGGGCAGTCCTGGCTCGCCCCTCGCCACTGACTACAAATGGTGACCCCCCAGTCTCGGGAGGAACTAGTTGTTCATGGACTCAGCATTAGGAAAAACTTCTTCACAGTCAGGGTGTCCAGACTGTGGAATAAGCTCTCTCCAGAAGTGGTGCAATTGCCTACCCTGGAAATCTTCAAGAGGAGATTGGATAGTCACTATGCTGGGGTCACCTGACTCCCAGTTGTCTTTCCTGCTTGGTGCAGGGGAGCTGGACCCGATGATCTTCCAGGGTCCCTTCTAGCCTTACAATCTATGAATCCATACAGGTGATTTTATAAACATGGAAAGGAAATCTAAGTCCTTAAGCAGAGCATCAGCTTCTTCTCCCCAGCCCCAGGTCCTGACCACTTAAATTTGAGGGAGCAGGAATGATTTTTAGATGGGCAAAGTAGAAAAGTGATTAAACACATTGCTAAGAAACATAAATGAGGTCCTGCTGGCATGTATGCCTGGGAGTTTGCTACCTGTTACCACTGCCCAAAGCCACCACACAACCACAGAGTAGAATTCCTTTTTCTCTTTGTCTTGTGTCTCAGCCACAGGGAAACACAAACTGCTCTGCCACTGCTTCTGTGTAACTGATGTTTTAACTGTGTGGACTATCATCCAGCAGCAGTATTTCTCTCCACATGACATGATCAGGGAGCCCTAGAGAGGAAAGATCAGTATACACTGCAACATTCTCACCCTATTTACGATTTCTGAAATTGAGCGAATCATTTAACACAGTACAACAAGCAGTTTACACAGTCACTCCCTGGGATCTGTCAGCACTCCTGACATTCCTAATGGGAAAAACAGATGAACATTCTTCGAAGAAAACAATATCAAACATCAAGTGAAACCGCAAGGAGAACCTCGTCAGGGTGAATTTTGCAGCACGGACTGGAGAAGGGTCAATTGCTCTAGCCTTTCTTTTGTTGCACGGGACTGGGCAACTCCCAACAAGCCTGCCCTTGCCATATAGATGATGAGTTCTCAGATTCCCTTATTCCCTAATTCTAGACCCACCACCCCTTTACCTTGACTTCACACCCATCAGACTGACTGCAGCTCACATCCTGTTTGGAGTGGTCAGCGAGCATTGTCCTCCAAGACTAGGGACAAACAAAATATCAGATCCCACCAGGGGTGACCACCAGGATCTGGGGGAACATTTGTTCACCAGAGCACCCCAAGGGATGATGAGGTTGAATGGTCATAAACTACCACGAGACCGTTTCAGGCTGGACATAAGGAAGGATTTCTTTACTGTCCAAGCCCCCAAGGTCTGGAACAGCCTGTCATCGGAGGTGGTTCAAGCACCTACATTGAACACCTTCAAGAGCAAACTGGATGCTTATCTTGCTGGGATCCTATGACCCCAGCTGACTTCCTGCCCTTTGGGCAGGGGGCTGGACTCAATGATCTTCCGAGGTCCCTTCCAGCCCTAATGTCTATGAAATCTATGAAATCTATGAAGGAAGATTTATAAGATGGTTTCCATCTCCTTCTTTCCCTTCCTCTAAAGACCAAAACCATGTGGCATCAGAGCTTGAACCATGTCACTTAGCATGTGACTAGGCATTGCCACCAAGCCACTGAATGTATTGTACTGATCTTTATACACCCACAGTTCAGCCTACAGAAACCAAACAAAGGATAATATGGATGTGGTCGTGCTACCTCTTTTCCAGTACAAAAACAATCAACTTCCAAGTTTTCCTTCTTCAGAACTTGAAAAGAAAGGTCACAATCTGTTTTGGCTTCAAGACCTAGTCTGCAGTGAAACAGTTGATACAACAGCTTAAAATAACATGCTTCAATACCACTAGAGTCTCTAATCACTATCAGGCCATTTACACGATATATATATAGTATTCCAGTTTCCGTGTTACCTTCCTTTCAGCTACTGATAATTCCTTAAACAAGAGCTATTCTCCTTCATCATGAAAAAATAAAATAACCAACCCACAAACAATTGAATGATCCAAACTTGTGCCAAAAAAGCCAACAATAGACAATGCTGGTCCAGTAAGCATTTCAAAAAGTTGTGTTCAACAGTGCGCTTAAGGGATGAGGCTAGAACATAACTTCTACATTTGAAAATACACTTGTATTTTTTAAAAACATGCAGAGGGACAACTGTGTACCTACCCAGTTCCCTACTGCACTTCTTTCTGTTGCACAGATGGACCTTTTGTTTCCACAGAATAACTCTATAATACTGAGTAGTCATAAGCAATGCCATACCTGCATTGGAAATGAGAGTATTATACATAGGTAATTTTCTTCTGTGAAATTTATTGGAATTAGTTAGTTAAGGCTGCTTAAAGGAAGTTATCTCTTGACACAGGAAGCAGTAATGTACTTCAATATTTTCAAAATTTAAGGGTATTTTGTGTGTGGTCTTTCAAAATTAGTTTGTTAGAAATGGGATAATTTCCAGTTTCACTCTATCATTTAAGATGTGCACTTATCCCACTGATGCATTATCCAATCATATTTATAAAACTAATGAAAATGAGAAAAAATAATCAATAATACTTCAAACTCATCCCAGTCAATAGCAATGCTTAAAGATGCTTAAAGTTCAAAAACTTGGATGTCTCCCTATATCAACATGGATTTCAGTAGGTGCAAAAATAGGCCGTGTGTGTAAATATGTATAATTTTTGTTTGTAAAAAATATTTTTATTGTAACAGAAAGCCGCTTTAAGGAGGAAATAATTTCCCTGGCCACGTTTGGTGTATCATGGGTTGCTACTTATGAAATAAATGGAGATTGTTCTAGTTTATG